TGTCAACACGTTAGTCGTTATGCATTCTGGATTGTGACCTGTCACAGAAGATCAACATTAACCAATAGCAGCAATTGTCGTCCCATAATCATGGAGCAACACCACGTCATCTGTTTTCTCACGCGATCAAGGACTACAGATCAGCAGAACTTCTTTAGTCGAGGTGCTCAGCGTTCTTGGAATTACTGTACGAACTGCATGCAAAAATAAATAAATCTTATCAGCACTGACTCATAATGTCATTGCGGTCGCGAAGATTGGTAAAGGGAGACTCCATGTTAATTTCGATAAGGTGGCTGACTGGAGATGTTCTGCAAGCGGTTATTAATAAGATTTAATTCACTATAGCTCAGCAAAAAAGGAAATCGTATTTATTTAATAGCCAGTATCACCGCGAAGCTTGCATTCTACAGCAATCTGCCAGATCTAAAATTTAAAACTTTATACTCGTGCAGTAATTTTTCATATATTTCAGCAACGGAGCCTGCAGGTATATACTAGCATGGCTGATTCGCTCGTGAATGTCCGCATTGCGAGAAAAAGGGCAGCGGGTATTTAAAGTCTAAGTTGGCATTAGCTCCACGAAGCCGCACGTGGCCACAAAGTGTATATCAGTTGGCTTTGACTATCAATTCATGGTTGCTCCTGGTTGGTATTCTACACCTATACTATGTTAGTATTTCAGAGGTTTATTATAGACGCGTAGAGTGCTATTACATGATTCAACTGAAGAGCATTCACTGGTATATATGATCCAGCACTCACGCAGCCCCTGTATTGTGTTACTCTCTTCATATCAGTTAAACTTGCTCTTTTTTCTATTTAAGTTGTTTGTTCATTAATATCGTCGTATCACCTACTGAAATACTACCAGCGTGCTTAGTGCTGAAAGAGCTGATTCAACTGAAGAGCATTCACTGGTATATATGATCCAGCACTCACGCAGCCCCTGTATTGTGTTACTCTCTTCATATCAGTTCTCCAAGAAATTATATTTTATATATTAATAACGTCTGCCTTTCCGAACGTCAGAATGAAGCCGCGCTACTAGTACTTCAAACTAATTCCGACAAGAAGCCACCAACGGGTCCCTTTGAATACTGGCTCGACTTTTAATGGCGGTAGGT